CGTCCTGAAGGCACGTGTCCCGTAGGTGCGTGTACCCTGAAGGCGCGCATTCCCTATAGGCGAGCGTCCTGAAGGCACGTGTCCCGTAGGTGCGTGTACCCTGAAGGCGCGCATTCCCTATAGGCGAGCGTCCTGTAGGCACGTGTCCCGTAGGTGCGTGTACCCTGAAGGCGCGCATTCCCTATAGGCGAGCGTCCTGTAGGTGCGTGTCCCGTAGGCGCGTGTCTCCTGAAGGTGCGCATCCCCTATAGGCGAGCGTCCTGTAGGCACGTGTCCCATAGGCGCATGTGGGATGTTGTGAAATTGGAGTGCTGATGTTTCTCGGACTCTCCATGCCTGCGTTCCCACCTGCCACTTCCTCCACTCATGCTTTATCTTAGCTTACATACTGCACTCACTTAACTGCACCGCCTCTAGTCTCCCCTACTTTGGCTAATTGCACATTTTATTACCCCTACTCCTCCTGGGGTGTGCTGCTTGGAGACCCCAAATTATACAGATATTCTGCCTACCCTGCTACCTGCAACGTCTCCACTATCTGGCGTCTTTTTGGCCTGCTTGCTCTTCTGCCTGTGACGTCTTTCCTGAATGCCCTGCTGTTGCCCCACTGTTCGTCCTGCCATCTGAAGCAGCTCCAGCATCTGCCTGCACCTCACTTAGAGATTCAAATATTAAAAGTGGGACAGTGTGAATTGGAACTTTGCAATCTTGCTCATTTGACTTCCTCTGCCAGTCCCTGGAGGAGTCCGTTTCCTCCCAAGGTTTCTTCCTTCTAGGGAGTTCTTCTTTGTCACAGTCGCTCCTGACTTGCTCACTGGGGGCTTAGGGCGGGGATAATGTGAAGTGCTTTGAGACAATGTAATGTTGTGAAAATGTGTTATACAAATAAAATTGAATTGAATGAATTGAAAGTCTCCTGAAGGTGCTTGTCCCCCAAGGCATGCGTCCGGTAGCTAGGTGTCCCCCGAAGGCGTGTGCCCCCTGAAGATGCGTGTCCCCCAAAGGCTTTATCCCCCAAAGGCGTATGTTCCCCATAAGCACATGTTCCCCGAAAGCGCATGTTCCCCGAAGGCGCATGTTCCCCGAAGGCGTGTGCCCTCTGAAGATGTGTGTCTCTCAAAGGCTTTATCCCCCAAAGGCGCATATTCCCTGTAGGGACATATTCCCCGAAAGTGCATGTTCCCCGAAGGCACGTGTCCCCCAAAGACGCATGTTCTCCGAAGGCGTGTGCCCCCTGAAGTTGTGTGTCCCCCAAAGGCTTTATCCACCAAAGGCGCATGTTCCCCGAAGGCGCATGTTTCCCAAAGGCACATGTTCCCCGTAGGCGCATGTTCCCCGAAGGCGCATGTTCCCCAAAGGCGCATGTTCCCCAAAGGCGCATGTTCCCCAAAGGCGTATGCCCCCTGAAGGTGCGTGTCCCCTAAAGGCTTTATCCACCAAAGGAGCATGTTCCCCGAAGGCACATGTTCCCTGAAAGCGCATATTCCCCGAAGGCGCGTGTCCCCCAAAGGCGCATGTTCCCCGAAGGCGCATGTTCCCCGAAGGCGCGTGCCCCCTGAAGGCGCATGTCCCCCAAAGGCTTTATCCCCCAAAGGCGTATGTTCCCCGAAGGCGCATGTTCCCCGAAGGCGCATGTTCCCCGAAGGCGCATGTTCCCCGAAGGCGTGTGCCCCCTGAAGTTGTGTGTCCCCCAAAGGCTTTTTCCACCAAAGGCGCATGTTCCCCGAAGGTGCATGTTCCCCGAAGGCGCATGTACCCCGAAGGCGCGTGTTCCCCGAAGGCGCGTGTTCCCCGAAGGCGCGTGTTCCCCGAAGGCGTGTGCCCCCTGAAGGTGTGTGTCCCCCAAAGGCTTTATCCCCCAAAGGCGCATGTTCCCTGTAGGGACATGTTCCCCCAAAGACGCATGTTCCCACGAAGGCGTGTGCCCCCTGAAGTTGTGTGTCCCCCAAAGGCTTTATCCACCAAAGGCGCATGTTCCCCGAAGGCGCATGTTCCCCGAAGGCGCATGTTCCCTGAAGGCGCATGTCCCCCAAAGGCACATGTTCCCCGTAGGCACATGTTCCCCAAAAGCGCATGTTCTCCGAAGGTGCATGTTCCCCGAAGGCGTGTGACCACTGAAGGTGTGTATCCCCCAAAGGTTTTATCCACCAAAGGAGCATGTTCCCCGAAAGTGCATGTTCCCTGAAGGTGTGTCCCCCCCGATGGCATGTATCCCTCAAAGGCATGTATCCCCCGAAGGCGCATATTCCCCGAAGGTGCATGTTCCCCGAAGGCATGTATCCCCCAAAGGCGCATATTCCCCAAAGGCGCATATTCCCCAAAGGCACATGTTCCCCAAAGGCACATGTTCCCCAAAGGCACATGTTCCCTGAAGGCGCATATTCCCCAAAGGTGCATGTTCCCCAAAGGCCCATGTTCCCCAAGGCGCATGTTCCCCAAGGCGCATGCCCCCTGAAGGCATGTGTCCCATAGTGCATGTCCCGTAATGCTCAGCAAGGGGGCTGACTGGA